CCAGGAGGCGGAGATTGCAGTGAGCCACGATCGCGCCACTGCACTCCAGCCCGACTAACACTGAGACCTTGTCTCAAAAAAACAAAGAAAGAAAAAATAAAAATAAAAGAAAGCAGTTATGGAGGAGCCCACACAGTGGATATTACGGAACTGAGTGTTTGCTGTGCGTGGGCCTCACCCCAATAACACTGTCCAAGGCCCAGTCCCTTCTCTCTCCTTATCTCCTATACTCACCCCTGCAAAGTCTTCTTACTTCCCTCTCACTAAACCCTCTTCCCACCTCTTAGGGTCAGTGGGTCAGAGCCTACTGAGCACAGTGGAGTGAAGATGGTCATGGGGAGCCCTTGGCCTCCTATATCTGCCTGTATTTACCTGCAGAGGCTAGGCCCAGGCAGGGACAGGAGTGTACTGTTTCCAGGAAGTTCTGCTGTGGGCCTGGGGCGATGGCCTGGCTTTGCCATAAGGAGGGCTGGCTATGGGAGCCGTGAGGCCTCGTTGGCCTTGGTCACTCGGCCTTGCCTCTCCATCCCTGGCACACTCTGTCTTAGGTAGCTGACCCCGGCCACCAGCACCCCACAGACTAAGCGACTTCATGCCGCTCATAGTGCTGAGATAATGGGGCTGAGATCTCTCAGCTGGTTCTAGACGAAATCGATTACATAATTTTAGGGCCCAGAGCAAAATGGGCATGCAAGGCCCTTTGTTCAAAGACTGCTTGTGGTTTTTAAGAGATATGACCTCTCTCTGTTGCCCAGGCTGGAGTGCAGTGGCGCCATCATAGCTCACTGCAGCCTTGAACTCCTGGGCTCAAGTGGTCTTCCCCACTCAGCCTCTCGATTAGCTGGGACTAGAGGTATGCACCACCACACCTGGTTAATTTTTTTTTTTAGTAGCGGTAGTATCTCGCCATGTTGCCTAGGCTGATCTCAAACTGTAGCCTCAAGTGATCCACCTACCTCAGCCTCTTGAGTAGCTGGGACTACAGGCGTGCACCACCACGCCCAGCTAATTTTTTTGATTTTTGGGAGAGACAAGGTCTTGCTATGTTTCCGAGACTGGTCTGAAACTCATAGCCTCAAGCAGCTCTCCCCTCTTGGCTTCCCAAAGTGCTGAGATTACAGGTGTGAGCTAGCACGCCCAGCCTATTTTATTTTTTCATTATTGAAAGATAATATGCCAGACACAGTGGCTCATGTCTGTAATTCCAGCATTTGGGGAGGCTGAGGCAGGAGGATCACTTTGAACCCAGAGCTTGAGACCATCTGGGCAATGTAGCAAGACCCCATCTTGCTACATTAAAAGTAATAAAAAGAAATCATATTGTATTAAATTACATTAATTTGCAACATCCCAGTGGGATGAAAGGTAGTAAGTGAGGTTGGGGATGGGTCA